ACATTGGATAGTCTCAAAGCACTTGTGAATGACACTTGGAAAAACACTCAAGTCAATGGCACTACTAGTTATAGAATTGCTCAAAAACTCAAAACAGATATTAAGAATCGGACTAAAACTACTGGCAGACAAGAGGAAGAAGGCATTTCAGATATAATTGATGAAATTGACAGTATTGACAGATTAGAAGAACTAAGCAATCTCACTTATGATGATATTGATAGAAGGAACAAATTGAAAGTTGATATGGCTCACAAACTCCAAACGGAAGCTAGTTCTTGGAAGCAAAAATGTAGAGAGAACTGGCATAAGGATGGGGACAGAAACTCTAAATACTTCCATATGCTTGCAAACCACTGCAGAATGGTCAATTTTATTGACGAATTCACTATTGAAGGTCAATTGCTTAAAAACAACAATGATCCAAGAAATGGTGCTTGTAAGTATTTCCAAAAACTCTACACTAAAAGCATTGGCTCTTGCCCTAGACATGATGATTTAATATTTTAACAAAACTGATATGGATGATTGCTTATCATTGGAAAAAGGTTTTTCTGAAGCTCAAATCTTTGATTGCCTGAGGGATTGTAATGGGAACAAAGGCCCAAAGCCGGATGGTTTTATCTCAGATTCATATAGACTTTTTGGAAGGTTGTCAAAAGAGACATTATTGATTTCTTCAATGATTTTCATAATCATGGCTCGTTTGTAAGAGCTCTTAACTCTACTTTTCTTGTCATGATACCTAAATTACCCAACCCGAAGAACATCAAAGACTTCCGGCCTATAAGTCTCATTGGCTGCATATAAAAGTTTCTCTCAAAAGTGTTAGCTAAAAGACTTGCTACTGTTTTACATGAAGTTATTGGGAAATCAGAAAATGCTTTTGTTTTTGGTAGACAGATTACAGATGTTATTCTTATTGCAAATGAAATAGTGGATGGATGAAACCATCAGGAATAACCAAAAAAAGGACTGGATATGGAGAAAGTTTTTGATCACATCAGTTGGGACTTTATTGATTTCATGTTGGAGAGACTTGGTTTTGGTACAAATGGAGAGGTTAGACTAAAACATGCATTTCTACATCTAGTTTTGCGGTCATGGTTAATGGCGGTCTATCAAATTTTTTCATTGCTTCCAAAGGTTTGAGACAAGGTGATCCCCTTTCTCCTCTCCTTATCATCATCGTTATGGAAGCTTTAAATAAATTATTGGAAAGGCTAAAGAATTGCAAGTATTAAAAGTTATCACTGTTGGCCAACAAGAGAATCAAATAGAGACTACCCATCTATTTTTTATTGATGATACATTCATTTTCTGTTAACCTGATATTTGCTCCTTAATTTTTCTATGATGTGTCTTACTCTGCTTCTAGGCAGTATCATGACTGAAAGTAAACCTACACAAATGAGTTAGTGGTTTGGGCATCTTCTCGGGTGACATATTTGTCTGTTTTTTAGGTTGTAAATTATCTCATCTCCCCATTACTCATATTGGTGCTCCTCTTGGTGCTAAATTCAAATATAAAAGCTGTTGGGATCCGATAATTGACATGTTTCATAATTATCTTGCAAACTGGAAGATGAGGTTCTTATTCAAGGGAGGCAGAATTACACTCATCAAAAGCACACCTTCAAATTTTCCCATCTATCTATTATCTGTACTTAATATTTCGACCAATGTTGCCAACAAACTAGATGCCATATAATGCAATTTTCTTTGGGGTGATAGTGATAACAACAATAAAAAACTTCATCTTGTGAATTGGAAAGAAATCAAGAAATCATTCAAAGAAGGTGGACTGGGTTTGAGATCAATTGACAAATTGAATAAAGCTCTACTTGGAAAATGGATATGGAGATTCTGGAATGACAACAACAGCCTTTGAAAATTAATCATTATGAGTAAATGAACGGTTCAATGGTGACCGCAATGATAACTCTAAAATAAAAAACAGTAGTTATGGTTCTATCTTATGGAGAGGTATTTGGAACCTAAGCAACCTTGTTCTTCATAATTATAGGTGGAGCATCGGCAATGACACCAAAATTCATTTCTGGAAAGATATTTGGTTTGACAGAGAAGCGTTCCAATCAAGATTTTTAATGATTTATGCAATTGCTAGATACAAAAACATTTTAGTAAAAGATGTTGTCGAACTCAATCAATGACAAGTGATGTTGTATAGAAGCTTGCAAGATTGAGAAATTGAGAAATATGAACATTTGCTCCAAACTCTATCTCACACCCACATAACTGACAACAATGACAAACTCATCTGGCAACACATCAAATTTGGTAATTTCTAAATTAAGTCCCTGTATAAGAATTTGGTCGGCAATATTCCACAAGAATAGACAAGATTTTCACCTAATATTATTTAGAAATTGGGTGCCACTCTAAGAATTTCCTTTTTTGCATGGGAAGCAGCAAATAGCCGCATCCTTACACTAGATAATTTAATGAAAAGAGGCTTTACAATTGTCAATAGATGCTTTCTCTGTAAAAACAGCAATAAAACGTGTAATCACCTTCTTCTGGGATGTCTGGTCTCTCATAGCCTCTGGTTTACTATTCTTGGCCTCATGGGATTATCTTGGGTCAAGCATAAATCAATTTTGGATGAGCTACTTGCATGGGAAGGATTGAGCTGTCACAAGAAAACTTTTAGATTTGCCTCTCACTATATTTTGGGTGCATGATAGATCGATTTAAGAATCATCACTGACAACTGGTTCTATTATTTCGGATTCATTATTTTAGGACATAATATCGAATGCTTTGATGATCTTGACTCTATAGTCGATTGTTTAATCGATTTGTAAATTTTTTGTAAATAGGTGGTGCCCCTTTGACACTTTTACTTAAATTACAAATTCATACTTTTATTTCAAAAAAAAAAATTTATCTTGCAAAGGTTTGGCATTGTCTATGAAGACTTACTGACTGGAAAATATGATCCTAATGTTTTGGTGCAAGATAGATACTTATTTACAGAGACCTGCCCTGTCCACCCAACATGTCCCTCTAACTTAGAAGTAATCTTGGAATGGGACGTGAAATCAAGGAAAGCTTTCTGCAGATTTTGGCTCTTCTCCTTTTAATTCCTCATCAAATCCGTCCTTCAAACTAGAATTACCTGTGGAGCCCAAAACCCAAAACTCATGAAGAGGCCATTAAGCATCAGTTCTGAAGGGATGCAATCGCTGGTGAATATGATGCTTTAGTTGTAAACAATACTTGTACTCATTCCACCACAAGCAGGGGTTAATGTTGTTGGTTTAAGATGGGCATCTGAAGTAAAAGTGAAACATACAGCAGATGTAAGGCCAGGTTAATCGCCCAAGGTTTAAACACCAACCAAGTGACTAAGATAGAACCTAAGCCAGTGGTCAAACTAGTGATTTCCAAACAATCTTCTCTCTAGCTGTGTCTAATCACCGAGCTGTATGCAAACTAGATGTTAAAAATACCTTCTTAAATGGCTACTTGAAAAATATGTGTATGTGAAGCATCCTGGGGTCTGAGGACACTACCAGACTGAATCATTTGTATCAACTATATAAGGCTATTTATGGTTTGAAGATATGCCTAGGATCTGGTTTCGATGATTCACTTTTCTTCTCTTGCATGGTTCTACCTCAAGCAAGGCTTCCAGTTGTGTGCTCGTGTTAAGACTGAACCAAACAAGGGGCAGGGATCTTATTGTATACTGATGGTGTTTCATCTGGTGCTGTCAAGGAAGAGATTTGGGCATGGGATGAGGTTTGTAATAAAAGAGAATTTGTAAACTTGATTTCTTTAACTATATTTTGAGTTTTATGAAGGGAAAGAAATAGTAGGCTTTCGGGTTGTAGAATTAGAGATAAATAGTTTTATTATTTTGGATCATGACATTATTGGGGATGAAGATTTTGAGAATGTCATTGATACATTAACACTAAACAATTGTAAATTTGTTGTAGATGGACGGTACCTCATTGTTACTTTGTTAATATTTATATTTCACACTTTTTATTTTTTTTAAAAAAACTGATGTTTCATCTAGTGATTGATATTCCGTTAACTTTGAAATGATTTTTCCATGATTTACTTGGTGCTTTAAATTCTTTCTTGGGTATTTCTGTCACATGCAACGAAGCGAGGTCTCTTTCTTGATGAAAGTAAGTATGCCCGTGATTTACTTAGTGGTAGGAGCAACGCAAACCAATCTCTACAAAGTGGACATCCAAGTGTCACTGCGAGTCATTATTTAAGTACATAATTCTTTATCGAAGCACCGTAAGGGTCCTGTGATATCTCTGTTTCCTGACGCATGAATGCTCCACGCGATAATCACTTTCAAACTGTTAAACGAATTCTCGGATATCTATTAGGCGAGTTCTCAGATATCTATTAGGCACAATTTCATATGTCATCCAACTCTGTAGTGACTCTTCTATGCACCCTGTAGATTGTCCTTCCAATGATTGGGCTGGTCGTCAAGATACACGACGATCTACTTCGTGGTATTGCATTTTCTTAGACATTTAATTTCATGGAGTGCTAAGAAAACAGGCCTCAAGGTCCAAGGCAGAAGTTTTTTTAAGCTTGGTAATTTATTAACAAAATTACCCCCCCTCAATACTCTTATGATAACATTAATTCCACTAGTAAGGCATTAGACCATGTCCAGCATGCTAACTCTAAAGAGGAATTTGGTCGGGATTCCTTACTCAATACCTTCCAAGATGAGACCAGTTAGCAGACATCTTAACCGGAGGACTTTTTGGTATGCAGATTGCTTTATCTTCCAACTAATCTAATCGTGGGACTGCGTACAGCTTGCAGTCACATAGTAGAATAAGATAAACAACTGCTATTCTAATTCTCATTTCTATGTTAATGCTCTTGTATCTTGTATAGTCTATTTCTTGTACAACTAGAATGTACTTGAGCATAGATATACCCCACTGTTAATATACTCTGGATCTGGGAGAAATTATTCAGAAAGCTGATGAGGGGGGAGAAAAAGTGAAATGTTTGTGGGTTTGGTTGAGGCTGAAGTATGAATTGTTTTGTTTAAAATAAAATGGGGCTGATGGTGGTCCTTGCTCCTTCGTTGCTGTATAGGTGAAAATTTTAATATCAATACTTGCCAGCTCATTGAATAAAAAGGCTGCAGCCGAAGCAGACAGCAGAAATTTGACAAAAAAACCCTCTCTTGTCTATTCACTACGGCTGTGATTCAGGTGAGGCTTCCTCTCTGTTACTGATAAGTAGCTTTCTTTTCCTCTTGTTCTTTCTCCATCAAATTCGTTAGACACGTCAACCCTCTCTTTAGACACCCCATCAGTACTGTATTTCTTTTATCATGTTCATTTTAACGTCTTAACTTGGTAAATGCTATTAATGTATTTTGTTATGCAGTCTGTCTCGCAAGGCTCTTCAACAGGTTTGGGTACTTTGAGTCTTTAATTGATTTTTATTAATGTTTGTGTATGATAACGAAAATTCAAAATTGGATAAAATTTTAAAATTATCCAAAAAAAAATGTAAATATCGGATTATAATTACATTACACTATCATAAGATACTTAAAAGAATTAGATTATAATTAGTTAAACCATACCATGTAAAATTCTAATCTAATTAAATTGTTACAATTACTTTGAGAATAAGTTTGATCAGCGATTTCCAATCTAAATGATACTTATTGAGTTTTCAATTGAATTTTTCAAACAGAATTCTATTTATTTACAATTTACAATTTAAAATTATTTATCAGTGACGGAATTTTTATTATTTTACTTCTTTATTGTTGTATTGGATAAAGTTTTGCAGACAACAATTAAGAAATTTTATACACAATTATGAAGTAACCATTAAATACTAAACACTTTCATTCTTTTGTAAGATGTTATAAGTGTTTTTTTTTTTTTTTGGGTCCACTTTTACTTTTATATTTGCCATATTTAAAATATTTTTTATATATCATACTATTTTACTGATATATGGGTATTACTTAAATAATAGATATATGAATTTTTTACTAAAATAATTTTATATGCAATTAAAGTTTTGACTTTTGAAAAATTATGTAATTAGTTCTGGGTGTGACACACAAACTCATCCTTCCTTATTGCATAATACGGCAGTCACATGATTATATGTGGCATTGATATGGTGATGACAACGTGGCTACTTATATGTAATAATTCTATTTTTTAAAATTTATTTGTAATAAATAATTTTTTATTTCTTAAAAGAATTTAATAATGTTTTAAAATAAATAATATTCGGCATTTACTATTTTACTATTCCTTTTATTTTAATTCTGTATATATCACATATTTATTTATTTCAAAAATATATAAATAAATAACGGAAAAAATAGAGATTTTGCTCTTTCAAAATTGTTTATCGAAATTTTCTATTACTCAACAAATAAGAAAAATTGTCTCCTTAGTGCATCTTCTTATTTATTCTATCATATTGTACCATAACTCTCTCTTTTTATCGATAGTCTCCAAAAATAACATGGTATAGAAAATAATGGGGACAAAATTAGGTACATCAAAGATGAATCAAGACTTTTAAAACACTTTTGAAACACATTATTTCTCTAAATTGAGAAGAAGTTTCGAGCATAAAGGATCACAACTTGGCGGGAAGGATTTAGAAACTTTTTAACGAGAGTAAAAGTTGTTATTTTTATTCTTATTGTTGTTTAATAATACTCTATAACCATTAATATTTGTTGAATGATTCTAATAACTAGGTCCAGAAATTTAGCCCATAATAATTTTTTTAATTTAAAAATATATATAAAAATAATTAAAATTTATTTTTATTTAATTTCGTTAAATTTTTTAGAAAAATAAATTAGAGACAAAATTAAAAATAATTTTGAAAAAAAATAAATAAAAGCGTGAATAAAAATGATGTTTTTGAAAAAAAAAACTAAAAATAGGGAGTAAAATCGCAAAAATAGAAAGTTTGGCCACGTGGGATCACCAGCCACGGCAAATCAGAGCACACTGCGTGGCAGACACGCTGACATTGGCATCACGTAGGTGGTTCGCGTGTCTGAGCGATCTGACAGTCTAGATCACATTTCGCGCGCACGAACGACCCAGATACATTCCCTCTTTAGATGCGATCGGACGAACGAGATTGATTGCGATAGACGATTTAGATTCGTCTACGTAATTGGCCTAAATAGGTAACAATCAAATGTCTCTCCTCGCTCTACGTCGACTCGAATGAACGACTAGGATCAAAGAGAAGAGAGGTATTTAAACCTCTCTTCAATTGGCCCCGAAACCCTAGCCAACACCCAACCAGAGAAGAAGAAGAGGAAGGAGGCTGGAAGGAAAACCAGCTATCGGATGGACGCCACCGCCGCTGCAAGGAGCTTCCGCCAACTGGCAAAAAAGATAAAATTTTCTTCTTCCAACTTGGTGAGTCGAAAATCGCAGGTAAAGCTCGACCAAGCCGCTGCGGCCAAAACTTAAAACATTCTCCAATGACCCCCTTCTCGTTTTCTGTTTTGTATAATTTTTTAAACATCGTGTTCACCGTCCTTTTCTGGTGCAAGTTAGCCGAAGGAGAACTTCAGCTGCGAAGGAGGACCAATGGAGCTGTTGTACCCTAAGACCTTCCGCCAGTAGAATTTTAGTTTTTTATTTTATTTTTTGGCCAATTGAGGCTTCATAACATGATTTTTTTGCAGGTTTACATGTAAAACTGGGCAAAACCGACCAGACTGAGGTGAATATCGCTGTGGGCGGTGGAGCCAGTGTCAGAGTACTACGGTGCTGCTGTGCCCAAATCCTAAAATTAGCCAAAGAGCTTCTTCAATGCCTATTTTAGACTTTTGGATTTTTTTGAATATGTGATGGATGTTTTAATTTTTGCATGAAAAATTTAGGAAACCCGTGGATCGCCAAGAGGCGCAATAAAAAATACAATATTTCGGACACTGATTCGAGGTAAGAATCCCTCATCATTTCTCTGTCACGGTAAATTAAAGGATAATAATTGATAATACTGTGTTTTGTGAAAATTAGAAAATTATAAAAATAATTACAGGTTACTAGTAGAGCTGAAACTGTCAGTGCACATTTGTCATAGTTTACTATTTTTTTTTCTTGTACTGCTTAAAATGCTTACTATTATAGTGTGTGCATTAAATTGCCAGTTTAAATTACTTTCTCGATTATTTAGTTTACCTAGTTGGATACCCCTCATTTGTTGAATTATTTTGTAATAAATGTTTCAATCATGTTTGTTAATATACGTATCGCCTATTTGCATGACTTACGGTTGATCTATAAATATGAAATATTAATATGTAACTGGTAATTGGTTAATGGTGTGAATCTATGTATGAAAGGTTTACTAGGTACCTTAAAAAAATATGGACGGACCCGGTACATAAAAAACTCTAAGGTAGATATTACCTCAGTCGGACAGGCTGAGAAGTCCTATACAAGAAGAGTTTGAGAGATATGATTCACCTTCATACCGAACGGAGTATTGAGACAATAGTGTTTAGCGCCCATTACTGGACGGGGTATGGGGACGACTAGTTAATTGACAAATTTGGATATTAGGTTCACACGTAAGGAATATCCCTATGGACTCCCAGAGGTAACAGTAAGTAGGTAAAAAGGAAAGTTGTTATTTTTGTTCACTTGTATATGAAATTATAATGTTATTTGAGTTATTATTTTTATATGTTGATTTTGGAAACTCGTAACGGTAAGTGTGAAATAAATAGTTTTATATTAAATAAATTTACCAAAATTAATTCTCCATTAGTTGTTTTATAATTTTTATCAACTTTTAATTTTTCTGTATAAGTGATTAGTGTGATATTCTTACTAATTTAGTGTAATTTATTCCTCTATTTAACCGTTTCAGATTAAGAAGATCAAAATTCAGATCTTGAACAATAGAAGAGTTGCGAGTAAAGTTACCTCGCAGACCCCATCAAAGTTATCAGCGGAGGTTAACTTTGTAAAATTTTAGTTTCATTTATGTGTCTGTTGTTTTAAGTCTTTTTAAGGATATTTCCGTATTTCTATTGTACATTTTAATTAGATCAAAAGACGAGAGAAACAATTTTATAAAAACAAAATTAAAACTAATTTTGAGAGTTATAGTGCCAATGAATCTAAAACAAGAAAAGGACAATTGAAACAATGGAGGAATGGGTTTTCACAAGGGACAAAGAAGGGAGGGAGGGAGGCAATGGAGGTTCTTAAGAGAGTTTTTTCAAATGGTTTATAATTTATTCAAATATTTAAAATGTTATTATTTTTAAAACCCATGATCTAATTGCAAAATTTGAAAAAAAAAAAAATGGAGGATCAATTTAAGTTACAAAAGATAATAACAGACCCTTTTTCAAAAACCAAAAAAAAAAAAAAGGAAATTGGGTGGTCCATGTCTGAATTTAATTGAGCACACTATTATTGGACCGGTCGGCACTAAACTCTGTCAGCCACCAAATGGTAAGCATCCACTTCCTTTTTCTTTTTAATTTTTAATTAACACCCTTTTGTAATTCATTCCCCGAAAAAGTAAAGTTTAATTAATTTAATTAAACTGTAAATTGATATTTAATGCTCTTTATTTCGATTTATGAAAAGGCACGGGAAGCAGGTGACACTCAAATAAATTAAATGCATTGATGAATGATCTTTCCCTTTGTGGGGCCTACCTCAACCCCTCATCACTTGATTCACAAGGAACAACACGTACACACTAACAACACCCAATGCTTCTCTCCCAACCAGAAAATTACAAATCAACCCATTTAATTTTGGCCAGTCGAAGGTTCCTTCGACCGGACCACATGGTTTTTTCAATTTATGACAATCTTAATTTATCCTAATTATTATCTTTTTCAAATAAAATCTCACACCAATCCCTCCTTTTACCAAGAAAACAAAAGCATGCGCACATTAGTTTTTGCATGAAAAGTTGGCTAAAGTGGGCACGATTAATTTTTCACCTTTTGTGTTTGTGCAACCTTGGGTGGCTTTATCAATGCCCAAGTGAAGGCAAGTTAGAGATGGTCCCTTCGAGGGAATCCAGTATTTATTTTTGGCCCCCCACAATTATCATAAATTATCTTAGGAAACAAAAAATTAAAAACGTCGTCGTATTAGTGTTCCCTCTTTTTCTTTTTCCTACATAATTATTTTTTAGTTATTAATAGGTGTTGTTTTCAATTAATATTGAATGTTGTTATAGTTGGAATAGATGTAAATAAACAAATAAATAAAAAGATTATATCTTTGTATTTTTATGATACATATATTCATGAAACTTGGGAAAGTAGTATTCGGAAATGGGAATATAGAAACGAGAAAGGGAAAGAAAGTAATTAAGGAAAAATTCAAGTACATGACTGCAAAAAAATACTTTTATAATATTCCCTCGGTCAGCAACCACTGAGGGAAAGTGAACCAAAGAGTTGCAGAAACGAGTAAACGTATTTAATTTTCACAACTTCCAAGCTACACACTCCATACCCACCTTCTAATTCTTTACTTTCCTTCTCTGATTTCTACAGCTTATCAACCACCAAACCCTAAATTCTACTCACCCTCTTCAACATGGATTCACCCCCACGAACCCTACAATACCACTAGACCTCCCTTGACCAAACCCAGCTTCCTTTCCTGCCTCTCTACTCACTTCAGCCATGGCTGCGTTCTCCACTTCCTGCTGCTTTACGCTCTTAACTGTCCTCATTTTCAACTTTAAAATCTTAGCTGCTGAGCCAGATTCTTCTTTTTCCTTCAAAAGTTTTGGTAGAGATCCAAGCTTCGAGGCTAACATTGCTTTATACGGGGATGCAAAAGTCCTTGATGGCGGGTCTTCGGTTCAGCTGACTAATTCGGTGAGTTCAAGTGCAGGGCGAGTCATGTACAAGAAACCCATCAGGCTTCTTGAAGGTAAAACTAGGAATTTGGCTTCTTTCTCCACGTACTTCTCCTTCTCTCTCTCGGGTGATAATGATGATGGTTTGGCGTTCGTCATGCTTCCCAGTGGTTTTAACGTTAGCCTGTTTGGCAACAGCTCATTTGGGTCCAAAAACAAGAAAGCTAGTGTTCTTGCTGTTGAATTTGGTGCAGTCAAGGATACTAATTATGGTGATTTGAACGAGAATCATGTGGGAATCAATGTTCGAAGTCTTGTCTCAGCTAAAGTTCGAAACTTGTTGAATAGTGGGGAGAAATTGCATTCCTGGATCGATTATGAAGCGAGTTCAAAGAGATTAGAGGTTAGATTGAGTAAAGGTGATAAAAAGCCTGTTGATTCATTGCTCTCCTATCCAATTGAGTTGTCCCAGATGTGGAATGATAAAGAAGCTTTTGTGGGTCTAAGCTGTTCAAATGGAACATGTTATGTGTACTCGTGGAGCTTTAAGCTGAGGCATTTTCCTCATTGGATGCATTCACAGCCATTGGATCCCAAAACTTTTGCTAATAATACAAAGCCTGTGAAAGTTCAGAAAAGGAGTGATTGCCTTTTGAAAATGCTTGCAGCACTAATTCTAGGTGCAGCTTGCGGAGCAATGGGGGCACTAGTTGTCCTGTATCTCTGGACCATCTTCGGTAGTAGGCGGCCGGTGATGCCTGAGGAATTTAACTACAATGAAGTGAAAGTAGTTGTAGATAATAATAAGAAATGTGTTGAAGATGGAAAGAAGTAGGTTTAGAAGCAAGATGGGGTTTTTTTGGTTGCTGTGTTTTGTAAATTCATGGTCATTTTGTACTTGTAGTTGCTGGTTTTGTTGTGTGATTGTAACTGATTATCAATTGTGAAAAAAATTTCTACTTGTTTTTTTCTTACATAATCTTGGTTTATTTAATCATCAGGGACTTCCAAGCACACAAATTCTCTAGAAATAGATAATTGAGAGCATGCTGTTGAACAGAATAACATGACTTATATACCCACGTCAATCAATGTCAAATATATATTTATGAGCTTATCTGTCTAGATTCATCACTTTTTCTTTGAGATTTGAGTAAATGTTTACATAATCAATGAGTAAATGATTCATTAAAATAATGAGTTACCATTATTATCAACACATTGAGACCGTCAAATGTTCAGGAGTTCCTCTATTTAATCCTTTTCATTCTTGTTGCTAGATATCTTGTTCATACATATCTCGTGCATACATATCTTCTCTTTGTTCCCCGAGTCTATAGTGAGTTACAGACAGTTTGAAAAGGTCACCAGCATTGAGAAATTGCAAATGGCTCTCAAGTCTCACCTTTTCTTTCTTAATGTTTTAAGTTTGCTTATTGAGACTCTTTGTTTTGTTGTTTGATGCTTTAAGCAATATCTTGCTTACAGTTCATAGCCAGGTTGGCTTTATAAAAAGATACATGGGTTATATTATTCATTTTAGAAGCTGCAACAGATGAGTCAATGTTGATGCAGAATTTTATTAGGTGATAAACAGGTATATGATACTCACATTTTACCTAAAAAGTCCCGTTAGATATATTCACAAGCCTTTTTCACTCACCTCACGAGATGTTATACTATTTCATACGCCAAATTATGTAAGACCGAACTCCTTTTTTTGCTTTTTGCTTACTACTTGAGGCTGATGAAGAAAACTGTTTGATACTTCATGATTCCCATGGCAATTCCAGATACATCAAGAAGCATGATTGACTTTCTGAAGTAATTTGGCTTCTTTGCACTGTTATTGGATTTTGTAGAAACCAACTTCTGGTGCTTTGTGTATGTTTTCATTAGCTCTTTTTGGCTTAAAGCTTGAAAATTTGATCGTGGGTGGAGCACAAATGAGTTATTAGTTCTTTTCCGTGTTTCAGAAATAAAGATTGCAACTTGTTACGTATATAATTAGTTTTAATTTTGGTTTTTGTTTAAAAACTCTAAGATGACTGATTAAGTTACTGATAGTTAAATCAGAAAGGGGAAAGCTGAATGCAATTGGAGCAAAGAATTTACTATATAATTCCATCCATATAAACTCATTGTTTTAACGATCTTCGTTCCCTCATACATGGGTTGATGATATGTAGGTAAAAGAAATTTCAGAAATGAAAGGCGCCTAATTACTATAAAAAAATAGCTATTGAGTTTCATATTGGCTGCAGATACCCAGATTGACTATTCTCTATGCAGAGATTGGCAGCCGGAAATTGCCGCTTTCCTAGAAAAATTTTATCAATTCATTTGCCCCACAGTTCAATCCCTTAACGCCCATCACTCTTGCTCGTATTCTTCTTCTTCCTCATAATCTTCATCCGCTGTCGCATCCTGGTATTGCTGATATTCTGAAACCAAGTCATTCATGTTGCTCTCTGCCTCTGTAAATTCCATCTCATCCATGCCTTCTCCTGTATACCAATGCAAGAAAGCCTTTCTCCTGAACATGGCTGTGAACTGCTCGCTTACTCGCCTGAACATCTCTTGAATTGATGTTGAATTCCCAATGAAGGTGGATGCCATTTTCAACCCTGTTGGAGGGATATCGCAGACTGTTGACTTCACATTGTTGGGAATCCATTCAACGAAGTAGGAAGAGTTCTTGTTCTGGACATTGATCATTTGCTCATCAACTTCCTTGGTGCTCATTTTGCCCCTGAACATGGCGGATGCTGTCAGGTAACGACCGTGACGTGGGTCAGCTGCGCACATCATGTTCTTGGCATCCCACATTTGCTGGGTGAGCTCAGGCACTGTCAGGGCTCTGTATTGCTGCGAGCCACGGGAGGTGAGAGGAGCAAAACCCACCATGAAGAAGTGGAGACGAGGGAAGGGAATGAGATTAACAGCAAGCTTGCGAAGGTCAGAGTTAAGCTGACCAGGGAACCTCAAACAGCAGGTAACTCCAGACATCGTAGCAGATATCAAATGATTCAAATCCCCAACTGCATAACCAGATGATTCGTAAATCAACGATGACGAAAGATCTATATCAAGGAATGAATAGATAAAACAATACAACAAAGCATAATATGAATGGAGGTCTTACAACTTGGAGTGGTGAGCTTCAAGGTACGGAAACAAATGTCATACAGTGCCTCATTATCAAGAACCATACACTCATCTGCATTTTCAACAAGCTGGTGAACAGATAGAGTAGCGTTATAAGGTTCTACAACAGTATCTGAGACCTTAGGCGAGGGAAAAACAGAGAAAGTAAGCATCATTCTATCTGGGTATTCCTCTCTGATTTTTGAAATCAGGAGAGTACCCATACCAGACCCAGTTCCTCCTCCAAGCGAATGACAAACCTGAAATCCTGCAACCCAGAAACAATAACAAAACCCACATAAAAAAACCTAAAGAACCCCAAAGAAACAGCAAAGGAAAAAAAGTAGATGGGAGGAGCAATTAATTGGGGAGACTGAAACAGAAACATACCCTGCAAGCAATCACAATTCTCAGCTTCTTTACGAACAACATCGAGGACAGAATCAATAAGCTCAGCACCCTCGGTGTAATGACCTTTAGCCCAGTTGTTTCCGGCACCGGACTGACCGAAAACGAAGTTATCCGGCCGGAAGATCTGGCCATAAGGACCAGACCTGACACTGTCCATGGTACCAGGCTCGAGATCCATGAGAACAGCCCTGGGCACATACCTGCTGGCACTAGCCTCATTGTAATAGACATTAATCCTCTCAAGCTGAATATCAGAATCACCCTGATACTTGCCGGTGGAGTCAATACCGTGCTCGGCACAGACGACCTCCCAGAACTTGGCACCAATCTGGTTGCCGCATTGGCCTCCTTGGATGTGAAGAATCTCACGCATTTTTGATGAAAGAAATCGAGAAAAGAGAGAGATTTTATGAAAGAGAAGAGAAAGAAGATGGAAAAGAAGGAAGAGAGAATTGGGGTAAGAGGGGATGTGGGGACGAAAGGAACTTTATAGAAAGGTTTACGGAGCAACGGTTGGATTGGGAATGGCTAAGAAGCAAAGGAGGAGGAATGAGTTGTAAATTTTTTATTTTTTGTTTTTTTTTTTAAATTACAAAATAAATTTTGAATTTGAAATTTAAAAATTTATTGGTGAATAATGAAAGTGACAGATAAGGTTGTAGCTGTCATGCTAATAATTTGAAATCTGGCCTTTTATTAAAAATTAAAAAAAAAATGTAGCCTTTTTGGGTTTTTACTATTATTTTATTTGATTTTTCAAATTTCTAAGTTAATAATAAAAAATATTAGATTTAGGGAAAACAAACTTTCTGAACAACAATTTGAAAGTGGAAATCAATAAAAAGGGTTCTTCTATTTTTAATCCTACAAATTTATTTTAATCCCTTCCTCTCTTTGAATTGGTTACTACATAAAAAAACTATATGATTCAGTTCATATTTTTCTGAGTAATTTCGAATTATTTAACAATGTATCTAACATTACTACTCACACGGTTATCCTTCATCTACCAACATGTCTTCTAATGCAACCACTTCTCTCTACTTTCTTTTCTTTTTATCTTATTTTACTTGAATTCAAATTTTATCACTTGAAAAAATCAATTGGGTAACATACAAATTCCCATTCATTATAGAAATGGCCTTCATCTGATTGATAAAAGTAAAAAAAATCAATCATTCTTCTGTTCACCCGCTCATCAGTTTTTCCTTTTTCTTTTTTTGGGAGCCAAATCTAGAGGGTCTTGCACATAAGGAGGAGCAGAACCGGAGCGAATCAGTTTGGTTGAACCAATTTTTCAATTCAACATTTTCTCTTCTTCTTCCTCCTTGGCTCAGTCGTTCGGCCACCACACCATACTACTACACCTGCAACTAGCAAACACCAGCACCCCACGCTCCACTTTGAGGGCTTATTTTATTTTTTTCAACTAAGTCCGTGTGGCAGTATTTGATCTCTTATATATGTATATTTTGCGATACTCTTAATATTGACAGAATGAATGTGAAAATACTATTATCAAGAAAACACTGCTACCAGTTATCATTTATCAGTCGTCGGCACTGTAAGGAACATAAGGAGGATCGAGAAAATAAAACTATTTGGAAGCCAATGGATCTCAGCATTGTACTATTATCTTCAAACTTATCACCAAGTTTACAGATAGATAACGCAGTTTCTAACTAGCATCATTGATCCCAACACAAGCAATTTTGTTAACCTAAATTGCAATCGCAAGTCAAAACTAAGCTTCAACTTGTTTCAACGAAATCCATAAAAAAGAAACTCGTTTTATGATCTTAATTGGATTCAAGCAAAAACCATTTCCCAGATTAAGTTAATATAGGACAAATACAGGTGTCAAGGATCTCAGCATTTCATGATTATCTTCAATTCCTTATTGGAAGTTGCAGATAGATAACGCAGAATACAAGTAACATCATTGATCCCCACATAATGCACTGCCATGAAAACACCAAAAAAAGGGGGGCTGCTTGTCGCCGGGCATAACCGAAATTTTCATAAATTTAAGGTTCAAAAATGAATTGTTAAAGCTTTTCCATCAAAACGAGAAGAAGCAAAAAAAGCATCTCAGAGATATTTCCCCATGAGTTTCTTCATTCAAAATCAAAGTGCAAGGATAACAATTTTAACAACTCATCATAGATGCTCATGTCATAAGAAGTCAAGTAAACGCACACACACACACACACAAATGAAAAAGAGAGAGGGCGAATGAGTGAGTGAATCTGCGGAGAGAATACGTTTTAAATTTAAAAATACCGTATTTTAGATGCTTGAACCTGCATATCGAGGGAGGCTTTTCCAGACATTAGACGCTTCAGAAATGTTTTAGCGGCCTTTTTGATTCGGCTTCTCGGCACAGTTTATATAGCCGATTATAGAAAACCCTAGCCACTGTTTGGTATTTAAAAATACTAATAACCCTACCCCGGACAAGTAACAATCCCGTCTTTGTCATCATCGTTCGAAAAAAAAAAATAATAATAATAATTTATTTTAATATTGCAATTAGTCAAATTATTATTTTTTTATAATTTAATATTTAAATTTATAAAATATAATTATTAAATAAATTCTTTATAGAAATGAAAAAACTTTTTGTATCTTACTTAGAGAATATTAAAAAAAAGTAAAAACAAAATATTATATTCAGAACTAAAAATTGTTGAAAATTAAAAATAAATTAATTATTTTATTAAGTTTATTAAATAAAGTTTTTTTTATTCTAAGTTTTAAATTCTCTTAGAAATAAAATATGAATAAATAAGAACCATGAAGAAAACTCTACCTTTAAACAGAGCTCGTGGATAAATAACATCCATAAATCAGTCTTCATCTTCCGACCATAAAACCTCCTGCCCAAGCAAAACGGCAAGAAAACTCCATTATCACTAGAAACTTCTAGATGCAATTCCTCCATAAATCCCCCCCTTCCTTGAACGTGCTCTGCATATGCACTGCACCACCATTACGAGGCTAAGCAACCTTAAACCACCCAATCACAGATTCTTCAACATGGGCATGATTTTTGGGAAAATCAGCGTTGAAACACCCCACTACGAACTTATACAATCCACACCCGATTATGAAATCCGCAAATACTCACCTTCCGTCGTAGCAGAGATCACATACCATCCATCAAATTTCAATGGCAACAAAGATGGTGGGTTCTCGGTGTTGGCAAACTATATAGGCGCCTTGGGGAATCCACAGAACGCCAAGCCCGAGAAGATTGCCATGACAGCACCTGTCATAACACAATCTTCCACCAGCGAGAAGATTGCCATGACTGCGCCTGTGGTGACAAAAGGCGGTGGAGGGGGGGAGAACAAGGCAGTGACAATGCAATTTTTACTGCCTGCCAAGTACCAGAAAGCAGAGGAGGCGCCAAAGCCACTGGATGAACGAGTGGTGATAAGGGAGGAAGGGGAGAGGAAGTATGGAGTGGTGAGGTTTGCAGGAGTGGCAACAGAGGATGTGGTGAATGAGAAAGTTAACAAGCTGAGGAAGAGCCTGGAGAAAGATGGGTATAAGGTGATTGGGGAATTCTTATTGGCCAGATATAATCCCCCTTGGACTTTGCCAACATTGAGAACTAATGAGGTTATGATTCCAGTTGAATGACGCCGTGTAAAAGCATATATATATATATATATATATATATATATATAGCTAAGTAAAATTAGAGAAATTATCTACTGGAAATAAATGTTTTAAAGTCATAACAAGCATGAATCTCCAAACTTTTTTTTTCCTGCCTTAAAACCCAATAGTAGATACTTACAACCCCGGACTATAAAGAAGTTCTCTTCTAGATCAAAATGAGAAGTTATCAATGTTCTCAAAAGCCATGGACATCCCTTAACCTGTTCATTATCAGCCAGAAAATAGTTTAACTACAATTGTCACAATATTCAAAAGTATAAGTGGCAACCTCATGTATTGACATGCATGTATCAGTCCGATCACCTGTCCCTTGAGAGAATTCTTCCTACCTCCTGAAACTTCTGCCAAGGTCCAACCTCTTGGAGCAAGAAACCGATCTTCATTCAATATGGCAAGTGCATTTGCGAAAAGCAGAAAGCCTTCTAACAGGGTCCAGAAGCCCATAATCTGCAAAGCACAACATTAAGCGATAAACAGGAATTACACTGATCGTACTTCAAATACGAGAACTTCTACATTATTATTTTGGATGAATCATTCTTGGCTCTCCTGACTCAGTTGCAAAATCTTTTTCTGAACCATGAAAAGTTGTTAAAACTTGCATCCAGAGATTCTGCATCACTATAAGAATGTGATAGATTGTCAGTTGGGGTCGATGACTTCGCCGGATGCAATTTAATCTACTAAATCCCACCTCCACATAATGAGAAGGTAACTCCCCTATGTTCTGTCCAAGTCAGAACTCTAGCTGATAATTGCTCCACCTCAGTTTGTCCATGAAATGAACCAAAGGCCAGAACTCAGTACATATTGCAGATATGTTGGCTCTGGTAATAATAGGGATTGGGGAAATATAATTCATATGCTTCAGTTAGCCATTTCTAAAAAACTAGACATTCATGACTTCAGTCCGTTGTGTACTTGTTGCATCACACCAATGATCGGGGATGCTAAATACTAAAACATTCAAATGTTGAATATTTATCCAAGAACAAAAACTTAAGATGTCAATATCTGTATAAATTATAATACTAGATTATCAGAACTACATGGATTAATCACAAGGTAACCCAAAGAGGATTTCAAACTCAATACTTATTTTTAAAACAAAAGGCCTAACTACCAATTGAATCATGCATTTATGTCCATTAATAGAGATGAAAGAGTTGACAAACACTAAAAGAAATTTTATTAACTCCTCAGCCTCAAATCTCACACCGTTGCAGGATTGAAACTCCTGATTTCCACCACACTACTTCAACTCAGGATCATCACAGGAGAAAATACATAAAGCTGCTCAGTTTGCAGTGAGATAACTAATGTAGCAAACAGATGAGGCTAATATATCTAGATCAGATGCTTTAATCCAGTACCTCGGTTACAGCGAAAATGCAATTTATTAGAAGAACAATAAAAAGTACCCAGAATTGCCAAACTGTAAAAAAAAACCATATAAAGAAACAAACCTCAAATAGAATGGAAACAGAATCTGATGCAAGCTAGAAAGAGAATACCAGAATAAATGCAAATATCAAATGGGCAAACCAATTTCTACAACAAATAAAGTGATCCAATTGAAGTAATTTCATGTATTTCAGTCAAAGTAGACAGGAAACCTAACCAATTCAAAGTGATTCTTCAACCCAAATAGACGGAAGCTAATTGATGAACAAACGACCGAAGTTGTTACCTGGAAAGAAAGGGCAAACAACAACGAGATTGTTTCTTCAAATAGCTTCTTTCGCGATACCAGAGGAGATTAAAATCAAACACTTTTTCGTCGATTGCTAATTGAAAGAAACGAACAAGGAGGATAAAGAAAGCGAATTGACAAAAACGAAAAACCTCCACATTGGAGCAGGAGGGAAAGGTTTGTGAGTGGAACAGGAAGTAGCGGATCTCTGCCTCCTTAGCTTTCTTACTATTGGGCCACGTCAGCATCTTCTTAGTTCCATCAATCTAACGGTTAATATTACTCTTGAGAAAATATCAAGATATATCAACGGACATTAAAATTTAACAACCCAAAAATGACATGGGCCTGGACGACCCGATTAGCAATCTTCATGTAGCAGACGAAAAACCCATGACCGACATGGATAAACCCTAACTCTGCATCAAATCAATGGCGTCACTTCTTCAACTTCCTCAGCTTAGCAACTTCTCTTCTTTGTTTATCAATACAAAAACCCAATCTCTAAAACCGCAAATACAACAAACATTGACTCGGAGATTTACTCCACATTATAAATTAAACCCACCTAAAGCGTCCATTAATGATGAAAACACGAATGGAGCAGCAACTGAATCTCCAAAGCGTAGTCGGAGAGGCCGGAAAAAGAAGCAAACCTCTTCCTCCTCTTCTTCAACTACTACTACTAAAGCGAAGAAAGCAAAGCGGTCAAAACACACCGAAGTTAACAATGGCTCGATTGAAGCAAACGCCACGAAAGAAGAAACAAGCGTCCAAGATGGAAGACGAGAAGGACAAGAGGAGCTCTGGGATTACGACGATGGCATGGATTTTCCGTATGAATATCCTCCGTTAATTTGCTGCTTTGGTGCTGTACAGAAGGAGTTTGTTCCTACGGTGAGGGTGCATGACAATCAGATGCACCCAGACATCTACTCGCAGTGGAAGATGCTGCAATGGGACCCGCCGGAGTTTGGCAGGGCCCCAGGTGGGCCACCCTCGAATGTGGCAATATCGCACGTGCGGCTTGGCGGAAGGGCAGCGTTCATGGGGAAAGTTGGGGACGATGATTTGGGAAATGAGTTAGTGTTGATGATGAACAAAGAGAAGGTGCAAACCAGAGGTGTTAAATTCGATGAGAATGTGAAGACTTCATGCACTTACATGAAGATCAAATTCGAAGATGGGAAAATGAAAACAGAGACCGTGAAGGAATCAGCAGAGGATTCGCTTCTTAGTTCTGAATTGAACCTCGCCGTGCTCAAAGAGGTAATTCAAGTTCCCTAAACCCTAATTTAATGTATTCATAGTTATGAATTGAACTCGCTTTTCTCTGAATTACAAATATTTGTCTTACTTTCAAAACCAACTTTAAGTTCTTCTGAAGGAGTTTTCAATTTTTACTTGGAATATAGTATTGAAACATAAAATAGTTTCAAACGTCAGTTTTAATCTTACATATCAAAACTAATGAAAATTGATAGTGGCAATTAACTAGGATTGAAACATGATTTGAACCAAAATAGGCTTCTGCTTTGGTGTAACTTCATGATTGTTTATGGAGTCCACATGGTTGAGAATCAAGTGAACATGTTGGAAGTAAATTTATTCTCTTGTTAGATAAATTTATTCTTGAGCAACTGCAATGATTTAACTCTTACTGCTGGTATCTGTTTATTGGCTGAATGTCTTTGATTCAGGCTAAAATTTTTCACTTCACTTCAGAAGTTTTGACATCTCGTTGCATGCAATCAACTCTTTATAAGGCCATTAGATGGTCTAAAAAATTTGGGGGTCTCATATTTTTCGATCTGAATCTGCCTTTGCCTTTGTGGAGATCACGCAATGAGACGAGGGAGTTGACCAAGAAAGCTTGGAATGAAGCAAACATCATTGAAGTTTCAAGGCAAGAACTAGAATTTCTTCTTGATGAAGAGTACTATGAGAGAAAGAGAAACTATCAGCCGCAATATTATGCTGAAACTTTTGAGCAAACTAAAAACAGGCGAGACTATTATCATTATACCCGAGATGAAATATCACCATTGTGGCATGATGGACTCAAGTTCTTGTTTGTGACGGATGGGACACTGCGGATTCATTACTATGCTCCTTCTTTCGATGGTGTGGTTGTTGGAACAGAAGATGTTTTGATAACCCCTTTTACTTGTGATCGGACTGGTTCTGGTGACGCTGTGGTTGCTGGCATAATTAGAAAACTAGCCACTTGCCCTGAAATGTTTGAAGATCAAGATATTTTGGAGAGGCAGCTTCGCTTTGCCATTGCTGCAGGAATTATATCGCAGTGGACAATTGGCGCAGTAAGAGGGTTTCCTACTGAAAGTGCAACACAGAATCTGAAAGAACAAGTTTATGTACCATCAATGTGGTAATTAAAAGCCATGCAGACAACGAGGTGCAAATTTATTTTTGTTATCAGCATTATTTTCTCCTGAGGTTCAAAATTCTTTTGCTTTTGGCGAATAGTAGTGAGAATTTATATTGAGAAAACGATGTGTCACGTGCGCTCTACTTTAGTTGCCTCAAGATTTGTTCATTCCATCTTGAGGAAAGTCTTTGGTAAGATAAATTTGGTTATGACATGTTTTTTAATTGTGGAATTTGGCCTTTGTAATCAAAGTGTTTCTAATTAAGGATATTAAAATTCAAGACCAAGTTCCATATGAAATTTTTTGTTTAGTTGTGGATTAGAGACTTGTAGGACAAGACCAAATTCCATGTAGAATTTTAGGTTTACCTGTCCAATGAGAGACTTGCAGGACAGAATCAAGTTGGATGTGGAATTTTAGGTTTAACTGTCAGAATGAGAGACTTGATATATTCAGTCCAACAAAACATGCGAGGATAATTATCACTCTGCTTCGCCAAATTTACTCTAAATTTTTATCACGTTTCTTTCTCCATTACCCCTCGGGCATGCATAGTATCTAGTGTGGAAGTGACTACAAGAAAACTTGCATTTGTAATATCTAGCCCGAACCCAGTTAAAAACACTTGTGCTACATCAGTGTGGGGAACAAGCGCTGGCATCAACTCTGAAAATGTCTTACCACTTAGGGTGACTAACGTACTGTAGATGGTCCTTATTAAAATGTCTTTGGCATGCTTTTGCCCGTATCTGCTGCATTTATCCTATAATCTTCAATCTTATCAAAGCAGAAAGATAGTCCAAAGGGCAGTTGCCCATTCAACCCATCCACTTGCTCAGCTGCTTGTTTTGCATTCTCACTCTGTTCAAGCACATCCCTCTTTCATAATTGCATAATCAAGATTTCTCTTAATTGGGTTCTTCTTTAAATGGATTGACCTTAATGTTCTTCATCCTTACATTTAAGCAAATCAATCATGCTGCCCCTAAGGGCAATCGACTTTAATTCCAGTAGGAAAATGAATAAAAATATATAATATTATATTAACCTGTTTTCAGGTTATCGATCGCGCATGGAGAGAACTCCCTACAAAAGATGCAGACTAAATTTTTATATGACCACAAAATACATCTTATTATGAGAACATGTGGTAGCAATATCTTCTATTAACTAAAATAAGTACATCCAATTTGTTAATGGTGTCTAATTGGGAATTTTACTTGACAATGACATAAGTCAAATAAAGAATAAAGAATAGATGAATACTAAACTTCGAAGTGGACAAATGAACTACTTCTCTGCCCTGAGTATAACTAACGCCTCTGAATTGTACATCAACTTCACTACTTCCCTAATTGTTGAATTGGTCCGTCCTTCTCTATGGTACACCAAAACTGAAACGTGTATATTTTTATATCAACAGAGAAAAACTTGAAATGTCTTGGAACTGTTGGCTGCTGTAACAGTATCACCAGGCTGAGCAAAAAGCAGAAGAGGTGAAAAACTCACTTTGAGAACTTTTTTAATGGGCACTGATTTTTCCAGACCATATATTCTCACCAACCGTTAGCCTATCTCTGTGTTCCAACCAGCAGAGTGGGTCTGGGAAGCTTTGTTTGCTCTTGAGACCTGTTGCAAATACAACCAGGAAAAGGATTTGCATAGAAGTTCTCCTCCAGCCTGGGTGACTCGCCTGGCTGTCTAAGATATGGTGATCCTAGCCTGTCTGAATGTAGACTCGTAACTGCTGAAGAGAATCCTTCCCAAGACATCACACCCTCGTCCAATTGATCAATCAGTGTAACAAAATTTTGTCTGAAACATAAAAATTTCATGTAACTACACGAACTTGAAATTCCACGTTTTAAGTAGGAACAAAAACAAAATTATATGGAGAAAAACCTGTCAGGATTTATGGTCTTGCGAAATCCTTCAAACCTCCTGTGCCCCTGTACTGCCTTGGCCATGTTTCCATCATATGTATAAACAAATACATCACTTTCTACTGCCACAATGTAATCCAAGGCAGCAAGACGATTTTGATATGGCTTGAAGGGCTCTAATTCTTCCTCAGTTGCAAGAGTGGAATGTGAGAAGACATTCGGAAACTCTGAACGAAAGGCAGCCATGCTATTGCTGCCATATATCTCCCCTGCCACTATGTAGATAGTTGTAGTCGAGGGGTAACCCAAAGCCTTAAGGAACAAGGCTGCCTCTCTAGGGGACATTGGGCATCCCCCTTGAAGTCGCCGTTCTTTGCTGTCTATCTCTTTCTCCTTCCAATGTTTAACATTATACCTCATGATTCTAAGATCTTCAGCCTCTTCTGCAGTAAGGTTGTGGCTGCAGCCAGTAAATGCAAGCATATCTTTCTCGTACCTGCAACAGAACTATTCGACTTGAGTAGGGTAATTTTGCAACCAACAGAAGCTAATAGTAGTAAATGCCAACGAAACAGTACCTTAGGTGCAGCGCAATATATGGCTCGCTATTTTTCCTTAGTCTGTCAACCAAAACCCTTCCAAGGTCTTCAATCTCCTTAGTGTACCGAAGAGCCTGGAAGTTGGCACGGCATCGCAGCCTTTGGATGGATGATGCCAGACCATTGTTAGCTAGACGTGAATCAGTGTGTGTAAACTTTATCACCTTATGCCGCTTTAACAATGGGAGCATCTCACTTCTGTAGTAACTAGCCTGCACACAAACAACTGATTCTAAGATACAATTTCACCAGCCAAATAAAGAAAACTACAGTTATGTACAAATAGAAATCAGTCCCAGACCTTTGACCATGAAACAGGGGCCTTCACCAGAGGTTTCAGCGCAGCATATTTGGTAGGTAAATATTCTATAATATCAATGTCGTCTTTTAATGCTTCCATAAAGTGTCTCCAGTCAAAAATGTCTTTGAAGTTGCTGCATTAGTAATGTTAACTTTCTTACCATAAGAAAATATCAAATAGCATCCAGGACCAGGATTATAGAATTGGTTTGGTAACAAAAATCAGGGAGAACTGTACCTCGGATCTGTCCAAAATGACTCATGATCGAGCAACGGAAGAACCAGGGTAGCATTCATTATCTTGGCAACAGCAACCATATCACATATCTGAATGTCCAATTGAGAATACCGTTCATGTATCAGCCTGAGAATAACTAAAGCTCATACAGCCTATGGGTAGGCAAACCGTAATCAAGAATTAAAACTTACCCCAGTTCTCATTTGATTCAATCCCCCGTTTGCATGAACAACAAGATACCCATTAGTTTTGGAACGCATTCCTAAAACATTCATATTTTGTGAAGATCAGAGCATAGAAGTAATTTTTTAAGATGGAGGCAGATAGAAGCGAACAGAACATACTTTGTGGCTTTCTGGGTCGAGCTATACATTGATGATAACTGTCGCTGTTGGGTTTCATCCATATTTCTGGAGTCTGTAATCAGTGCGCAAAATTCATAAACTAGTGTAAGTAGAATAATTTGTACCCTCAAAATAGCTATTTCATAAAAGAATCCTACAAGTGATGAAAGTCAAGGAATTACGCTGTGCAATGACTGTTCATGTTTGAATCTACAGACAAATGGCATGCAAGGACACGCAACAGCCGAGTAATTATTAGAAAAGTATACCCACAAAAAAAGAGGCACCATATACGATAATTGTGTTGGTCAAAGACACAGCGAAAAAACTTCCAAAGCGACTAATTTCAGTCAAAAGAAATATCACTAACAGTTCTTGACCGTTCAAATTCCTTAGAACAATAGAAATCTAGATGGAAGAAGATGATGATGAAAAAGAAGAAGAAGAAGAAGATGGTGATTGTATAAAAACAAGCTATTTTATTTAATTTTTGTTTAGAAAATTAAAAGAATATAGCAAATCATTGTAAAGAATGATGTCAGCAATGTAAAGGGTCAAAAGAAAAATAAACAGCAAAATTAACGAAGGCAAAAAAGTTGATCAACGATGAATTCAAAAATTTTATTATTTTCAGTTTTCTCGGCAACCAGATAAAACGTAAAGGTTCAAAAAAAAAAAAAAAAAAAAAGAGTAACAAAAGTTTCATTGTTTTTCTTTTATGGAGATTGTATTGCTATATGCCATTTAAAGTGCACTTACAGACAATCTCTCCAAAACACGTTTGGGCATAGAGGAGGCATGATTCTCGGCGAGAGCGTGTTGAACGGATGAGCCATCCTGCTGAACCTGCAATATGAACATATTGATAACCTCTTTCCTCTTCCTCTCGACCTCGACGCCGCTAGTGAGTAGCGAAACCCTCAAAAACACAGAGAAAACCAAAAGGACCATGAGTAACGCAAGGATCCTCCGGCCAGCGTTCCTCCCCGATCCCAACCTCTGCGCCATGGCAGCCGTCCAATGACAGCAGTCTTCGATCTTGAAAAGCCAAGCCTCAGGCACGCAAAGCAAGGTCTTCCGGCGAAACTGCAGATACCTGATTACAGGATGGTGTTGGTAATGGTGGAGTTGGGAACCACCTAGGGCAGAATAGTAAGAGCCGTTGGGGTTGTCCTCTTCGTCCAAGTCAAAGGAAAGGCTGACGTTGCTGTTTCTGTTACTGGCCGTGGTGCTACCGTTAATATTACCGACGGTGTTGGTGGCGGTGTTAACACTGTGGTAGTCGGAGGAATTTGAAGGTCTCTCGGAGACGTCCTGGGAATCCGCCACTCGTCGCCTTGTGGTGGTAGGACCCGCCGCCGCTAGGGGACTCCCGCCGGTGGGGTTATTCGAACCACCCGACGACATAAGGCCGGGAGGCGAACACAAAATTTATCAAAATTTTACTAAAAAAAAGAAGAAAAAGAAAAAGTGAGATACAAAAGATTTTCCCGGAAAATATTGAAAGAAAATAATGGGAAAGAGAGAGAGTCGGATGGTTTGGTTGGTTCCTTTTGTTTTCTGTAATGGTGTGATTCGCTCCCCCGCTCTCTCTATGTCTGATTGCTCCGTCCCGTAATATTAGGCTGAGCAGAGGTGTGAACGTGAATTCCCCCACTGATTTTTTGGTACTGCTTTTATATTTATATATATATATATATAGTGTACGGCTTTCTCTCAGTAGAAACAAATTATTGTTTCCGATTTATTTTCTTATTGTGAAAAATAACTAAAATTCTCTCTTTTCGTAAACTGGGTGGAGTTCCAACTTCCAATTGGCATTACACTTTTAATTGGTTTTAATCACTGTAAGTTGAGAAAAAGGTGTTTCCGAAATTCCCAAACTACCCTTCACAATTTATTTTAAGTCAATTGAGTTCTGGTATTTTAGATATATATGTGTATATATAATTACCCATAAATTCGAAGGAAATAATTAATAAAATATTCTTTTTCTTATTTATTTTATCCAAAATACCAACGCAATTAACCCTAAGTTGAATCTTGTGGGTTTAATTAAATATTGTAACAAGTTAATCAGAATATTATATGTGTTCTTTTTTTTCTTCTTCTTGTTTTGTTGTGTTTGAAAGAATTCCAAATTAGAAGTCTGTTAAAGTTGTTTGAGTAATTTAATAAGCTAATCAAAATGGCCGACCAAGTAATGTGCTTTACATATATATATATATATAATATAATATATTGTGTGTATATCCATCAATCACTTAAAAATTAAATAACAATATTGTTGCAATGGTAAACTCGGGCAGGATATAGATGACATGATTCATGTTGCATGCCCCGAACTACATTATGTATGTCACAAATATATAAAAAGAATTGTAACTACAATATATATATATTACATAAATACTAGATTAAAATAATTGTTTAGTTAATCTCCCAATTGTGAGTGTTTTTCATCTTTTTTCTATAAGATTATAAATTTGTAATTGTTATAAATTTATTTTATTATTAGTGTTTATGTAATTTTTTTAATAAACTTTTTTTTCTTCTTAAAATATTAACTTCAAATAACGCATAAAGAAAAGTCAAGTTATATTTTAAGCCAAATTGATTTCTTAGTGCGATAGTCTTAGGAGCTTTTGATTAAAGCATATTTTAAATGTTTTAAATTTTAATTATTGATTAGTATTTCCATAATCTCCCATTAACCACCATTTGGCGTCAAACTTATTGTCATTAAGGAAAGTGATTAATGAAGTTGATACTTACTATGTCAACTAACAAATTCCACTTACGCTTCCTTTTTTTTATTTTTTGGAAAAAAAAAAAACAATTATACCAAAAAAGTCTTTTAAAAATTTTAATTTATAAAGTTTTGAAAATTATAAACTAAGATGGTTTTATGATTTAATTTTAAATTTTAATTAAATAAAAATAAATATAATGAAGTTAAAAATATTTATTGATCCCAAAAAAAAATGATTACAAGCGAACGTTCCTCGATCTTCTCAAATATTTGTTTTAACTTCGACCTTTCCCGGTTCGACACGTGGCACCGCCAAAGATATTCTGCTTCTCTAAAACCAGCAAAGTGACACATGTCACCTTTGACGGACTTTCGCGTCACAAACCGCCGTATATTATAATATCAGAAAATATCCCAACCCTTGGATATTCATCGTCGTTATGGAACGGACGAGAATGATTTATCTATACGGTCGCATGATAATGTCATAGTCTGCTATGCACGGGATTGAAGCTTAAAATGCGGTGGCAATTTGGAAGAGACCAGACAAGAATTCAACGCGGATGTATAGTTGTGCGCGTCGGCGTCCACCTTTTAGATCCTGTTTGGTTAATAATTCTTCCCTTTTGACCATAACTATTATTATTATTATTATTTTTTTTTTCCAATAAAATATTTTGTATTAATATATTATATTATGATTTTTATGTTTAAGAATAAGAGAGATTCATAGTATATAATAATATTATTACGTTGTATAATTAATCAACCTCTGTATTCGTATACTACATTGTATTTTTATTATTCTTTTTTTTTTTCTGGCAGTATGGAGTAGATTATAATTATGATAATTGTTCATGCATTTGGCACTTTACAACTAATGGCAGATGCATACACATATATATTATATAGAATTTATATTCAGAGCAGAGGAATTCATGATATAAAAATATGTTACATTACATTGAGAAAATATGATATGATATGATAAGGGAATATATCTTTATAAATTATATAAATTTTTTAATTTTATGATTGAGATCACAATATTATTATTAAACTCTTACAAAAATATGTAAAAGAATGTGAAAAAAATTCTTTGCCTTATTTATCATTCTTTGTAAAATTATCTGTGAAATATTATCTGATTATTTATTTACTTTCATTAAAAATAGTTTATAAATAATAGAAACAAAATAATAAAAAAAGTAAAATAAAATGTTGAATTCTAATTTTTTTAATAACCTAATTTTTTTGAAAAATAAAAAAAGAAAGTATAAAAAAAAATCTAATTTTCTATCGAATTTACTGTTTTATTTAGAGTTTACTAATTTTTCAACGTCAACAATTTATTCATTTCCCTCTCTAAGAGAGGTGAGACTTATTTAATGTTATTTTTTATTTTTATTTTATTAATATTCTCTTTTTTTAATTAAAAATATGTTAAAATTATTTTGTGTCGTACAAAAAAAGAAATAGAATTCATTGTATATGTACTCCCAAAAAAACCTCTAATATTCCATTCTATTACATATACAAATAGGGAACAATAGAAAAAAATCAAAGATGATTTTACATGATAACTCATATAATATTGTTATCCAATGTAGTAGAATATAATAAAATTATTATTAAAAATAAAAAATAATATTCACCGTCTTATTATTAAATATTAATAATAAAAAAATAAAATATTATCATTAGTTTTTTTTTTTGTAAGTGATTAAAAAATATTAATAATTTTAGTTTGTTTTTTTTCTTTAAGACGAGACAATAGTAAAATTTTAACTTTAATTGTTAATTCTACGATGAAAAAATTATATAGTAATAAAACATAAATTATATATATATATGTATTTAGTTTATGTAAAACTAAAGAAATTAATTCAACAAAGATTATATTTGTTATGATAGCAAAATATAAAGAGTAATTATAAAGATAATAATAATAATAATAAAAGAAATAAATTTAACAGGTTGACAAAGATTGAGTTGATAATAAATTCTTTAGTACAAAAGTGAAATTCAAAAGCTTTTATTTTCTTTTATTTCTTGGAATGCTTTCCCATGTGCATACCAGGAAACGTGAGCAAAGAGAAGCTTTAAACTTTTTTAAGTTGTTTCCCGTGTTCATTAAACCCAAGTCAAGAATCCCCAACTTTTTTCATATATATATATCTCTCTCTTTATTTTTTTCTTCTTTCCTTCATGCAACTAGTTACATATATATATATATATGTATATATGTTTCGAAATTTAGACTTAAATGACTATGTCATATTCCACAAATAAATACAAAATTTGTTGAGAGTTTGTTTTTAAAATTATTCAAAGAATACTTTAATGATTTAAAAAATTGAAAAAAGCGGATAAGTAACGGACAAATTAAATTATACGTAATGTTCGTATCATGAACTATGTATATGTCTTTTATATCTAGTTGATAAATTAATTTTGTCCGGCATAATTGATAGACCAAGTTTAATTGTGAAGATTACGTAAAATAAATTTACCTTTAATCTCTTTTGAATCTAACAACTAACATATGTTAGACAAATAATAGTATTTACTAATAATGAAATAAGAACGTAATAAAGCAAATTAAATTTTTAAGAAAAATGAGAATAAAGATAAATTATAGTTTTATATATATTGCATTATGTGATCTTTTAGATTCAATATGTATAATTTAATTTTAGTCCTCTTGATTTTATTATTTTAAACGCGTATATAGTCATACTTTTAAAATATTTAATACGTGAATAACTCAGTTTAAAATCTTATAATAAAAATAAAAATTTTAAATAAAAATTTTTTAAAATAAAGCTTAATTTTTTAAAATAAAATAACAAAATTATAGACAGAAGAAATTTTGTGAAAGTTGCATATACTAAAACAAATAATACTTTTTAAAAAAAAAACTTTAAGCAATCTAATTTAGATAATTTACATGTTAAATTTTGTAGAATTCAAATTATTTATATGTTCAAACGTAATTATTAACTATTATTTGATAAGGAATATAATTCCGTTATAATAATTGCAGTATTTTAAGAAAATATTATTATAATAATTGCAGTATTTTAGAAAAATACTATTATAATAATTGCATTATTTTAGGTAAACTCTATTATAATAATTTTTGTATTTTAGGAAAACAATATATCTATATTTTCATAGTTCTACTAGAATACTCTTGTATAAATATTCACTATTGTTAATAGAATATTATTAAGTCTTCAAATCTTCTATGGCATCAGAGCCAAAACCTTAGTTGCACCATGTCTTCCACTCAAAGCCACACCGTTAATAGTGATGCCTCCATGGCTGTTGCAGTTGTATCATCGCTAGCTTTTCTGCTCCTTTTTCAATTTCACCTAATATTTCACATCGGCTAACAGTTAAACGTATTGTAAAGGTTCGGAACTTAAATGAAAATAAACTCGTAAATTAAATACGGAAGCGATTAATAGAGTCAGAGTTTACATTGCTTACACAACAATTTAGAATGCCAAATAGGAATACGAGAATGTCCATTCTAAAAAACAAATGGTAATTAAAGAAAAGCAAATAAATAAATATCCTAAGATGACATTTACTAGCATTTGAAGGGAGTTCGGGTAGTGAACTACTCACAACCCTCTTGTTGATCGGGATCTGGATCCTGGTCATCTTGATCTAAAACAGTTAATGAAGGGGTGAGCTACACTAGCCAATAAGAATATCATACTAATAATAGATATGAAAAATTAAAAATTGGTAAAAATTAGAAAAATAACTAATTGAGCCCTTAATTTAATATACATTTATTTAACATAAAGAAAACTATTTATTCCGTATTTATGTAACAAGTTTTTTCAAAAATAACCTATGAAGGCCTATATTCATACACTTTTTATCTTCACATATAAGATAACAA